TTAAACCAAGAACATGCTGTGTCTAATATAGATTCACAGTAGATTAAAGATGGATTCAGAGCATGTTTCAGTCTTTGATTGATGCAGATAATTTCCTGCGGCCATGCTGAGTCTTTGTTGTGTGTTGCTATGGTTTTTCCTGGTGCTTGCTGCAGGTATCCTAGGTTGTCCCCTTGAGACACAGGCTGTGTGGAAGTACAACTTGCTGGAACAAGATGGCGAGCTCTAATGTTGGAGTGCTGTTCCATAACCACCGGTAACACAGGGACTAAAGTCAAACATGAACAGAAGAAAAATGTAAAATTCATCTGTTGCTACATCAGGAATGTTTACACAGTTTTGAATATGCTCAGAATTTTGTTTCTGTTTTAGAAAAGTGTTGATTCAATTGTATGGTCATGTTGGAAGAAGTAGTTTGTGGTGTCGAACAGTATTATACTGATTACACCATTAATATCTGTGCTATGCTAAACCCCCCACTGTTTATAATGCATTACAGTTCAACAGCAGCACAAACTACATTTTCCAGTATGATCATACAAAGAATCAGCATCTCTCTAAAACAGTTTGAATGAAAACTGAACATTAACACCTTTATGAAGGGAAAATATAACACAGGATTGTCGTATTATACTGCAATAGCTTTGGCTAGGTGTACCTAATAAACTGCCAACTGTGTATATAACAAAGCAAATATTCATGTCTGCTTTTGTCATAGATCAATTTTCCTGTCATTTCTATCTTATAGCTGGCCAGACACCCGAGGGGCCGCAGGCATCACTTCTCAGCTCAGTGACTAAAAGAATACATGTGCTACTCGCCTGGAGAGGACACTAAACATATTTTATTGCTCTTTAATAATTGCTTTTTGACATTATTATCTTAATGCAACTCCCTTTTATGGGAACTGAGCTCTCGGGAGCAGAGTGGCAATCTTGAATGTGATGTGTCTCATCACCTATGTGCCTGCTCTGCCTCTCTCCTGCTGTTTGGCTCCTTTATGAGGCCTGATTCATTGGCAAACTGTGGCCGTATTATATTAATAGATCTCTGCGCAGCCAGGATGGCTCTCCTGTGTGTTATGCTCATCAGTATTATAATCCCCAACAGTTATTTTCAAAAAGGTCTCCCAGACTCCCACTTCAACTTTTCATTACAAATGACTGTGGGTCTGTGCAAAATTTATTTTGGAGATTTTTTGTACGTAGTCAGACTATAGAATAATAAGAGCTCTAGGTGACAATCCAAACTTGGCCTTGTGCTCAAGGTCACAATGTATAGCTACACAGAGGGGGATTTCATACATAATGTATACAATATTATTGCTAATTAGCACTAACAGGAAAGGATGCCCCCTGATTTCCCCTCATTTTAGTCTCATTTACATAAATATAATGGGGCACAGGAGAGCGTAAAGCCCAACGTCTGTCCTCCCTGAGGGGAGGAGGAGAGGTGTTACCAGGATCTGTCTGCACAAGTGGTAACTGTTAGAGAGCTGTTATTCTGATGACCAGACCATAAAGTAGATAGTGTGAAGTGAACAAAGAGGCAGTGGCTAACAAATACGCCACATATCTGATATGGACTTTCAGTTGCAAGATAAAGCTCTCACAGCGCTCAGCTAGATTTTAAAAATGTGTAAATCGGATTGTTTGTGTCCACAGTACCATTTGCTCATTTTTTAGTTTGATTGAATGATGTTTTTGTTATATTTAATGGGGAGACAGTGAATAATTGCTTAAGTCAAATGTTATAATAGCACAAGATAAATGGCCAAGCTGATGAGAACAAACTGAGATCAAACACCAATAATTTATCTTTTTGTTTAAATGTAAAAAGGTTTTGATGCAAGACTCTTCATTAGTTGTGTTATCTAAAACTGGGGATTAGAAAAAGTGCATTGAGAAATGGTGATGATTTTAGTGGGGAGGTTGCTGTTTGAGGGGATGATGACACATTATTCACAGGGGTGGGAGCCTTAAGTGCCAAATTAATTTTTTTTTTTCCAGTTGGACAGCAGAATAAATAGGCGCTGTCAGTCATGCAGTAAAGTGCTATGCATTCATTTAGGGAAGTGTTATTGCTGCACTGGAGCAATACGGTTCTAGCAAAGCAGGCCAGCCTGGTGGTTGGAAGCTGTGTAATTATCTCTGGTTCCTATGATGACGATGATTGCTGAAACAGCCAAGTGGTCCCAGAGCACAGCAGGTGTCAGACTGCAGGTAGGCGTGCCTGTCGCTGGATGTGAGTGCACATGAGCGGCTGTGGTGGCTGTGACAGACTGGTGTGTGTTTTTGTTCATCTGTGATGGCAGTGGCTCACTGATATGTATTTGTACAAATCAAAAGAATTATTTGATTAAAAGGATCAAGACTTAGGTTGAATTTATTGCATGGTGGTTGATGTAGCTATAGAAACCAAGCATTACAATCACCATTTATCACACTGTGGTTGTATGGTCATAAGGTCTTAAAAATATTTTTGACCAGCTTGGTGCAGACAGACATGACCTGGCACTGATTTCTATACGTTTTCTTTTTTAAAGTTCCTCCATTGCACTTAAGAAACTCTGACAATGTGCGAATGCAGAAACACAGACATCTGCTGTGTTTCTGCATTCGCGCATTGTCAGAGTTGCAAAGTACCAGCCGAATGAAAGATGAATACTGTTGCTCGACCGTATTTATCTGTCTGACATTCAGAAGAGCTAAATGCTCTGCTCATTTTCTGTGATGCAAAGGAAACTTTGAAAGGTGGGACGTTCAGTGGAGTGAGTGAGATAGTGGATTTGACAGATGTTTACCAAGAGATATGGCTTTTATTGATGCTTGCCCACCCCTTGGACTGACAGACATATTGCAGCTGGGTTATTTGCTCATTCTGAATTGCTGTGTCAGCTTCTGTTTGCGTTGCAGGGTCAGGCTCAGCTCGTATGGATCGTTAAATGCATATAACAAAGTTTACAAAAATGTAATGTTAACCAGCAAACATAACTGGTACACACATCCAGTGAACAAGTACACATGAAGTGCTGAGTGTGTAGTGTGCACACAGAATGCAGAAAATAAAAAAATTGCCTTCTTCAGTTAGTCTCTGCAGTGCAAATTCAGACCTTTGTTTTATTTATCATGTTGCCTTGCTTGAGCCTGAGAGAATCAGAAGATCTGTTGCTCCTCAGTGTTGTAAGATGGTGTGTGTGGTGAGGACACTGGTTGAGATGATCAACACTCATTCGTCTGACTAATGAGGTAGATTCAGAAGGGGCAAAAGGGTGGATTGAATGTCTTTGTTAGACAGGCCTGCAGCCCCCTTCTTTGCAGCCTGCTCCCAGGGGAGGCCTCACAGACTGCCTAATTGAATCAAGTGCACATGGTGACTCCTCCTTCATAGCTCAGCCCCTCCCTGCAAGGGGGAGAGCTTCAGCTTTTGATGCTTTTGTTCTCCTCAGCATCATGGACAGCACCAAGGGGCTTCTCTGCAACTAGTTGCCTGCTACTGGATGGAGAGGCACATCATCACTGCAGCACTCTTAACAGTTACTATCTCTGCAGATGTTACCACTACTCTCCTGCGCTGAGGCAAATGATTGGTGCGTTAGTCTCTGCAACATCATAAATTACCAGTCTAGCTTTGGATATAGGACGCTGGCCCTACCAGAACAATCATAAAGTTCAATTGTGCATTTAATTTGTTTGCTAGAACACAGAGCGACGTCCCCACAGTATGATTCACATGTCAGTGTGCAGGTGGCCCAGGCAACCAGAGCAAATACAAGATAGAAGACAAAGCTATGTGACTGCGCATATCTTAATGTCTGTCTCTCTTTTTCTTTAAAACATACCCAGATGTGGACAACATGTCCTTGTAATTCAGCACCCTCAGTCTGCTTATTAGAGGGACTCCAGATGCCAGTTTAATGAAGGATCCATTTGTGAGCAGAGTCGGGCGAGTCCCTCTCTGAGACGCATGCGGCATCCAGTGCCTGCTGGCTGGGCTGATTTCAATAAATGCCATATAGCATGTCCAACTACATAAACATGTCTTTTGTGCTTCACCTGAGCTTTTAAACTTTGATCTTGCATCTACATTTTAACATAGTATTGAAATGTTGCTTGGAAGTTAAAAATAAAGCTGTAATTTCTGTGACTTATTTCAGGCACTGTATGTACGAGTATTTGATCAACGAAATGCACAGTAAGAAAAATGCAGCTGATCAAAGAGTAAATATTTTCTAATAAGATATAAAACTATTTCCTGCAATGTAGTTGTTTGAATCTGAGCTAATGTAAGCATTTAGTTTGACGTGATAAATGCGTGGGCTGTTACCTTCCTGAATTTTGACCATCTTGTAAAAAGCTAAGGCCATTCTTAATTAAATCTAAAGCTGCAATGATTTGTTACTTTTTTTTTGTTATGACACCCCTAATTACAGTATCTGTAAGCAGAACTGAATATGAATGAGACATAAGTATTTTCTCTAGACTTCCTCTGCAGCCTGTAACTAGATCATTAAGTCCTTCTCAGAAAGGACTGTTCCAATGAACTTGGGTCAGCTATGTCTAAGAGGCTAAAATGTAATTGTGGAGAACAGCTGGATTAGTCCAGGCGATGTATATCCGTCCCTAATGATATTAGAGTCTGGAGAGTACCTTCCAGCATACAGCTCTCATTTTGATGAGCCGCAGCAAGACTGAACTGACGCAGGATCTGTCTGCTAGACTGTTGTGTTGTGTCAGGGCAGTGGGAGCATTTCATTTTGAGCATATTAAGTTTACATAACCAATAAAAGCCAAAATGGGACTGAAATTTTTAAATCATGTTTGAATTTGTATTGTTATAGCATCACCTTTTACAACACTGATAATGCCAAGAGTAACATGATGACTGTGTGGTGTTAAGCATCCAGAATTTCTATTGACAGTCTCATCTATCTAGTGAACTGGAGGAGTTCACCCTCCTAGGCAAGAGCACCACGCCCTGCCCAGTCCTCCTCAGGGAGCCTCACTAATATCTGACTAGAAGCAGGAAAGTTACAGCAGTTTTGCTTATTTTCTCTAACACTATGCTCAAATTTAGTCATTTTAATGAATAAAAATTAATTAAAGGTTTGGCTCCAACCAGTGACCCTTTATTGGATAAGCGGCATAGATAATGGATGCATGGATTAATGGGATTGTTGATGCTACTCATATGTGTTCTCTTGTTAGAGTTATAAGGTGCGTTATGTGGTTTAAGCTACATATTGATTGTGAATCTACATGAGCTTTCAAGAGTCTTGACTGAGACTGATCAATACTCACTCTGAGTACAAATTTCAAATTCATCAGGCCTCCTTATATAATATTGATTTGTGCAATGGCCAACCTGAAAAGATTCGAATTACTTTTTTTCTCCCATCAGTCAGAACAAACAGAAGCCTAATAGCAGCAGTCAGGTAGAACTGCTGTGCATTATCACTTCCACGTTTGTCTGGCTGAAAGATATAGATATAGATGTACAGGAGGGAAAGACAGAGAGAGGGGAAAGGATAAGGGGATATTGATTCACATGATTGGTCAGAATTATAGCAGAAATTGATGCATTTGATTGTCCATTGGTTCTCAGAGTGCCATCACCACTGCAGTTATCTTAATGATAACAGAAAGCATGTCTGAAATTCTTTTTTTTTTTTGCAGGGCTGTGGTACTCCCTGCAGACAGGACCTCGAGTTCAGATGCAGTGTAATATATGCAGTCCTGCTCCAGCAGAGCTGCAGCTTACAGTAATTTCCAAGCCTCCCGCCGCCAGGCACTGTTATGGTTTGAGAGTATTGCAGAGAGAAGGGATGGGAGCAGTGGAACTGGTCCTGAATAGTAATAGTCTTGCAGACAGTGTCTAAACTGCAGCTGTGCAGTTTAGACAGCTTCATGAGCATCCCATAACAGAGGCAGCCTCTCAGTACTTAACACACACAGGCATTTGTGTCAGTTGCACCGCTGACGGGAGGTGAAATAAGGTCACAGTGACATCTAGTGGCTCAGCGTTGTCACTGAGTGTTGTGGGTTGTTGATTACTTTAAACACCACATATACATTATCCAGTGAGAAATTGTGTCTTCCAGTCAAGAAAGCAATGTCAGGACATCGGTAATTAACAGTGGTAGTTGGCTATTTTAGCTATTCTATATGAAACTATTAAAGTCTTGTAACACATTGAATACATTATCTTTATGATCATGATTCCAGCCTTGACTGTCAAACTGTTCTCGGTTCTCATAAAGGCATTTTGCCATATTGCTGTAAATCCATTTCTGTGTTGCATACTGTCCATACCAGAATACAGACACAAAGAATTTTTTTCCCACTGTTTCCCAGAAATTGAAGACATAGTACATAATGTAATCAACAAAGCCAACAGGCATTGCACACAGTTTAGTAGATGGAAGTCTTGAAATGAGATGCAGGCAATACTGATGTTATAGACGCTGGCCTTGACAGGGAAAGAAAGCAAACTAGATGTGTGGGAGGGGAAATCATGAGCGTGGGTGTTTCAGTCTGAATCTAAAGAAGAGATGAGCTCTTTAGAGACCTTGCACATTGAAGGACATCATACGCCAAGGTTCTGACTGCTGTTAGACAGAAGAGCCCCATGCACATGTCTATTATGATTACTGAACCACTTGAATAATTTACATTTACATCCATTTACATACATTTCCAGTTTAACTTACCTCACAGGCATTTCCCCAGAACTATACTGACCAAACCCAGCATAAAGCACTCCACTATTCTACATTTAACAGCCATTAAAACAACTCTTACCAGGCTTATTTACAGCAAATTCTTCAGTTGTTTACCTCATCCTCCTGTTGTGCTCTGATAAGGGCGGGTGTGTGTGGATGCATGGAGCTCCAGTCTGGTGTGCAGGTTGGGCTGGGCTGCTCTGTTTGAAGTCCCGCGTGAAGGCCTGTATCTGCACTCTGCAGATGGAGCAGACATTGTAGAACAGATTTAAAGCTGTTCTGCTATTCCCACCTCAGCTAAATCACCTCTGAATACAGATGTGCTGCTGCTACACAATGAAGCTGTTTCAGCAGTGTCAGCTATTGTCTAGCTTGTCTTGTATCAGTTCAGCTCCAGGTAATGGCCTATAATCAGTCCATCTTTGCAGGACTGTCCATCTTGAAACCCTACTGAATAGCCCAGGCTGATTATTAAAGAACAGGGAATTGTCTTCCACAAAAAAGGGTTGAAGGTTAACTTCTCTATTCCATGTTTTTATCTGATTTCAGAAATGTAATTGATGCACTGAGAGTGTAGCATAGCATCCCCATCCCATTTTTTTTTTACTTAAGCTAATGTAAGTCTTTAACCTTCTGATGGACCCCTGGCTAATGTCATTAATTCCTCTCTTTACATGATAAGTGATCTTTTCCAAGGCTGCATAGAAACTATGGCTGATGAATGTATACCAAATAGCACTCTAAGCAGCCATCTTCTCTACAGTAATGTATACACTGGACTGGAAACTATTTATGTGGTCATCATTTGGATCTATTGACCCTTTATTATCTAACTAACCTGTTCTCCCAGACTGGGAAAATCAAGATGCAGGTCACTGTCTTTCAGTCACAAAGTGTTCTCAGCATATCCCTCTCTGACAGGACGTAGGGTAGAGTTCTCTGTCGGCTTTGCAGTAATGGCTGTTGATTCGGCTGACCTCAGACCCTGTGTTTTCGGGAAAGGGTGTGCAACTGGATG